AGGAGCCAAACACCGAGTTATAGTAATAACGTAAGGACTGGGAACCTAATATATTTTATAATGATAAAAGAACTAACTTAATAATAGTCAAGATAGTATATAGAAACCTTAGTATACTATAACTTTAGGATATAATATTATAAAGGAATAGAGAATATTTTTATAGATATATTAAGTAGATAACCAGATTTAATAACGAAAGAAAAAGAATATAAGGTAATTTTATATTTAGATATAAATACTAGTAATATAGTCTTAGATATATAAGTATTAAGGGCTACTAGGATAGTTATATTTAATACAAATACTCTAGAAACTAAGATATAGATATACTTAGAACAAGACTCTTTAGTTAGGAAGCTCTCGGGCTTAAGCGAGCGATACTAAAAAGAGAATAATCTACTCTTATATTAAGGAACGATATATATATCTAAGGAGATATAGTAATAAATACTAAAAGAAAGCTATAATAATTTAAGTATAGGATACTTTAGAATCGATAAAATTATAGAACGAGTTATAAGAAACTATTTTTAACTAAGTATATAGAGAGATATTAGATAATATATTTAGAAGTATAATACCTATTAATAAAATAAAAATAATTAATACGTACTATATAGACTATTATAACCTATACTATATAAGAATATACTATAGAAATCAATAATGATAGACTTTATAGTAAAGCTACTATAATTAAAGAAGCTATAAATAGGTATATAATACGATTTAATTATAATAATTATAGATAGACTAATAAAGTATATCTACTTTATTCTATTTATTAAAAAGATATTAGTGCTAAATATAGTATATATACTATTATAATAAGTTTTTATAAACTACGAATTACTAAATAAAATTATATTTAATAGAGATATATAGTTTATAAGTAAGTTTTAGATAATACTTACTAAAAAAATAGGGATTAAATAGAAAACGTCTATAGTATATTATCTTTAGATAGATAAATAGAGCAAACGGATAAACTAAACTATTAAATAATATCTAAGATATTATATTAACTATAAATAGAATAATTAGATTAAACTACTACCAATAGTATAGCTCGCCTATAATAGAGCTAAAATAGCCTTAATAGGTATAACACCTTTCTTTATAAATTATAGAAGAAAACTAGAAGTAATAAAAATACCTAGAAAAGCGAAGACTTATATATAATAAATAGAGATATTGGTAGAAAAACTATAAATATTACACGAAAATATAAAAAAGGAACTAGAATTCTTAAATTATTAGATAAGTAACTACTACGATAAATAATATATAGAAATACTAACCTTTAAAAGGGGGGAGAAAGTATTTCTACTATAACGAAATATTAAAACTATAAAACTAAATAATAAACTATACTACTAGAAAATAGAACTATTTAAGATTTAAGAGAAACTTAAATAAGTTAACTATAAACTCTAATTACTAATATATATAAAGATATACCTAGTATTTCATACCTTATTAATTAAAAAAGTACCCTAAAATACTAAACTATACGAGCCAGAAATCTAAGAAGAAAACTAGAAATAGAAATACGAAGTGGAAAGAATCCTAAATAAAAAAAAGATAAGTAGAAAAATTTATTATTTAGTAAAATAGAAAAGTTATGATAATTTAGAAAATACTTATAAGCTTATAAAGAACCTTTAAAACGCGACTTAGGCGATTAAGGACTATCGATAGGAAAATTAGATAAAAGCTACTTAATTAAAGGACTTAAGGATAAAAGAGGATTAAGGATTTTTTTAGTAAAAATAAGTATTTTATTACTACAAAGCTATAACTAAAGTTTAGCTATCTAGAACTTAGCTAGACGGTTTGACTCTGTAGTAATCTACTAATTAAAATTAGATAATTTATTTTAAAGATACTAAGCCTAGAAAGATAAAAGTAATAGGGTTAAATAACTATTAAAAATATATTACTAAATAAAAAATTTCTACTCTTTCTACCAAATTTATTTAAGAGAATCAGAAACGCGACCCACGTAAGGATAGTTATTTTAAATATAGGTAGTATAGCGCACGATATAATAACTAGTAGAGGACTTAATTATAATAAGATAAGGAATACCTAATACTAGATAATTATTATAAGGAAAATTAGAAACCTAACTATAATAGTTAATAATTATAGATAAAGTATAAAGCTTAGGAGTATAATTATAGGGATAAGGAGACTTAATAATACCCAAACGACAAGCTATAATTAAAGAAGAAAAGAAAAACTTACTAACTTAATACAAAAGGGAAGATACTCGCTACTTATATATTAACGATCGGGATAATTTATTAAGAGAGGAGGAGATAATATTATAGACTACCTACAGCGCAGTCTAAGTAAGGATA